ACAAGTCGGCCATCTTGAATCGAAAGTGAGGAGACCCGCACTTTTTATGACTCTTGTGTGGGAACGAAACTTATTACTATTTTATGTGCAGCACTAGGTAATTCCAGCTTATTGGAAAAGATTATGGCCCTATGAAAATTAATCTTTATTAGAAAAACTCTAATCATCCCCCAAAATTCAGGTACTTTCCCATTCTATAGTGTTCAATGGATAAAATTGATTTAGTAAGCACGATTCAAACTAGCCGTCTCCTGATTAAAGCCTGAAAAGGGCGGTACAGAAATAAAAGCAGGCAGAGACAACGGGTGGACTGGTCTGTACCCCATACTCAGAAAAGGTAAAATATACCGGCAAAGGAGCGAGGAACTGACAGAAAATCAGCCTGCAATTTGATGACTTACTTACAAAATCGAACAGCTGAATCGACAATCATGTAGAATGAATGCACGTTCTTGTTAGTGGCCTAAATCAGTGGACCGAGGTACTTATTGTGGTGGTATAGCATGCATAGTTTATACCACATCGTTAGCAAATGCTTTTGATTACACTAAGGAGTATTTTGTTTTGCATCATTTCTAACGCAAGTTACTTGTTGCAGGTGGATTTTATTTGGTTGAATCGAAACCACACGGCCTTTGAGTGGTTCGTAGACATGCTGTTGAATCTGGAGCAGGGGCAGAGTCAGTACTCGTTGGATCGGTTCTTGGATATCCCTCTATTCATGACAGGCATACAGCGCTTTGACATGAAGAATTTTGGCCTCCAGATGGCGCTAGACTTGGTCCATGAGCAGGAAAACAGGGACTTGTTGACTGGACTACGAACTAAGCTGCAGGCAGGAAGACCCAACTGGAATAAGGTGAAAAAATCAACAAAATTGGAACAAAAAGGGTATCAATTACTATCTTTCCGAAACGAAAGACGCAAAAATGAAGTGTTTGTGTTTTTCTTTCAAGACTAAAATGGTGCCTTCGAAACGAAATGAAAATTTGTTATTACCTTGTTATTTGCCACTGTACGTACTTCCTTGCAGGGGTTTTGCATGTGCATGCCCATGCACACATTTTTTGTGCTGGTTTTGCACTTTTATAACTTTATATCGACTTGCTTTGGAATGTTTTGGCTGGGATGCGTTGGGTTGAAAATAAAGTAGGATGTAATATTTGTGTGTGTAATATTCCCATATGAAATAAAAATTCACGAGTTATATCACAGAATTTGAATAAAAGTGACCAGAATTAAATACCCTTTTTAAGTCGATTTACAGTTTAAGTTGTCTTTATTCTTGCACGGGAAAAACCTTCGTTAACCATTTTAGATGTCGTAGTAAATGATTGAGTGGGAAGTGGACATAAATCCGAGTATGTTTTGTTGTTTTATTGCAGCTCTTCAAGAAGATTAAGGACGAGGATAAGGGAAGAGTGTCGGTGTTCTTCTGCGGTTCGCTGGCCTTGGGAAACGTCATCAATAAACAATGCCAGAAGTTCGGCTTCATATTTCATAAAGAGAATTTTTAGAGCTCACAGTGTATTTATTTTCCAAGAAATTCA